ACTGTATAGGATGTTGCTACGGGGACGAGGAAAGATGATTTATTAAACTAGGTCATTAAGTCTGTTCAGTCTTACTGGCTAACACGTATTTGCAGCTCTCAGCTGCTCCCTTATATTTACAAATACATGAATATTTCAGCTTTAAATGAATAATTACTTTGGAATTTACTCAAACTTAGCTTAAGCAAATGCAACTGAGTAGAAGGCGGAGTAGAAATACAGTCCATGTAAACAGCACCAGTAGAACTAGGTAAAATGTAACCACTTGGTGGTGATGTAGATTTGAAGGGCTAATTGGAACTGCAGCAGAAAATTAAAATTAGCTAAAGTTCTCACAGGAATTAGTGAGTAGAAGACTATGATAATCCTCGTTCAATCAAAGGGTTTCAGTTAGTTGTAACGGAATGGTTTTTACCACCCTTTTTCGTCACTGTACCACTCACAAGTGTGGTTTGGCAGCACATTCTTTGGATACGTTCATGCATGCACTGCGTAAAGTGAACAGTATCACCAATAAGGTAAAAATACGCCTCTTCCTATTCTACTACCAAACTCAATCTGTTGTGTTATTGGCAAAAAATCCAGCAGGGTTACCTCCGGACAAGGTTGTCAAATGAATGAAAATTACATTTTAGCAGTTATCACGTAGACAGGAAGTTCATCATCAAACTCAAGCTACTCTAGGACAGTAACTGGTTAGATAAGTAAATCTAGTTTGAAATCGAGAAAGAAGGATCTGGAAGACCGAAAAATAGCCTAGATCAAAACATCAGAATCCTGAAGAGTCTTTGTTTAAACAGAAGGAGGATGAAAGCTTAGGGTCTTGGAGACCGGTCAAAGCAAAGAAAGCATAACGCCTAACAGTTAACCTAGCGAAAAGTTTTATTATTACAATTTCAACTTACTTTTCGTTCTGTTCGCTTGTTTCTTTGGAAAACTTGTTAGTGGGATCTGGCGGGCGGTACTGGCTTAAAACAACTGCGGTACTCTTTTGACTTATCCTGGCTTATGAGTTTTTATCTTGGTTGAGGAAAGTTTTATTTGGCAGTTTAAATGCGATATCTAGTAGACCAAATATTCAAATATGAATTGGGTAAAGAACTTTCATGGATGTACTGCTTTTATTCAACTACAAAAGAAGTTTTCATGATACACCCCTCTCTTTTTGGTTTACTGGCTATTTATTGATTGCTTTTTATTTTTATCTTATGCCAGCTAGGCCATCTGATAAAGAAGCAGGAAGGCATAAAATCGTCAACTGAAGGACCCATATTTTGATCAGCTTTAGCAAAGTAGAAAAAGCTAATATCTGAGTTATCTCTTGCAGCAAAATCAGAGGGAATAGACATAAAAATTGTTGAAAAAAAGCAAAATAATCAAAATTGGAAGAACTGGTAGCACTGTACAGAAAGGACATTTTCTGAAGGCGGTAGAGGCCAGAAAGAGTAGGCGTTATCCCAGTTACAAAACAAAGAAGAGAAAAGAGTGTTGTGAATTTAAAGATACTGCGAAGTTAAAACCAGTTCAAAGCTAAAGTCATCCAGTCCATAATTATAATCATGAAGAACTATAGAAGTCACAGTTTGTGCTTATGGTATAGGAGACGTACATGCTGTTTCATGCGAAGCCACATGGAAACTGAAAATGCCGCAGAATCATGGGTAGAGCTGAGAAACGGTTCTGACAACAAGCATTTAAACTGTTGTGTACCTACAATTAATACGGTAACGTCCTCTTCAAGCCGGAAAAGACCCCGGTCCTTTGGAGTGTCGCGAGGGACGCAAAGTGAAATAAGAAGTAGGCAGCGAAAAAAAAAAATGCTGCAATAATAGATTTAGACGAAGGGAAACCATTGTTTGAAGTCCAAAGAAGGGAAAGGTCGAAGTGATAGTTCAAAAATTATTCATAAAAGACAAATGAATGTTACTTCTAACCCTTCTTTGTATTGTTTTTCTTTTTAAAGTGTTTGCTTTGTTCTTCGCTGATGTTGCAATAAGCGAGTTTTTTTTGTTTTCATGGTGGTTTTGAAAGACTGTAGAAGGGCGGCATTAAATATTTTCCGAAAAAAGCCCTTTGGACAGTTTTTTAAAGGATACGTGGGTGACCATACTAATTGAGCGTTAAAAAAAATACAGTTTTCAATTTTCGAAGAGGAAAATGAGCCTTCAAAGAATGCATTTAAAGTGCGCTAATCTGACGAATGGAGCAGAACTAAATTTCTTTTGGTAAACCACTGTAAAGTAAATTTACTGCAAAACAGTCAGGAGTTATGGTGGACTCGAGCGACGCTTATGCATAGGTGAAAGGTTTGTTTAGCAATAAAGTGTTTCCGAAAAAGCCAGTTGGATTCCTCAAAAAGGTTTGGTTTGATATATATATATATTTTTGCCTGGAGTGATGTTGGTCAAATTTTAACATAGTACCACATTCTTTGAACACACTTGTGGGGCTGCATGTCAGACTTCCGATCAGAAACAAATGGTTTGGGAAAACCTCTTCTTCCCTTCTTCTCTCTTTATTCTTCGCTTACCTTCACGAAAAGTAGTGGCGGAAAGC